TCCGTGGATAGCCTCGGGCCTTTCTCACGCGCGAGTGGTAAGAGGTATGCAAACCTCATTAAACACTAGGTCTAAACCTAGAGCAAGCGCATAAGCGGTGATTTAATCAACCTAAGCACTTCGCAAAGCACCTACGCTAATAACCTAATGAATCACTAAGCACTATGCAAGTGGAGATCATTAAAATGGTGTATCAACACCCTTGATATGTTTCCTCAGCTCCACACGCTTTATTTGGCCGGTTGGGGTGTATTTATAAGCCCCACTAAGAAAGTAACCATTGGAGACGAAATCCCACTTTTCTGCTACTGACCGGACGCTAAGGTCGTCCTGATCGGATGTGTCCGGTCGTCCTGACCGTTAGAGCGGTGATCAACTAATCGGACGCTGCCAGCGTCCGGTCACATCCCACCGGACGCGTCCGGTCGCAATTTCGCCACTCTGGAACCTCTCTGTACTCGATCGGACGCTGTTGTCCTGCGTCCGGTCGCTGCTGCTGTCGAGCCTCTTGATCGGAGGGTCCGGTTACTATGCTACCAGCGTCCGGTCACCTCTGTGGGCTCGTTTCTTTGTGATCTTGTGTCCGGCTTGGTTGCTATCTTCGTGCTTGGACTTTGCTTGATACCTTGGGTCTTCTCTTGTGCTTCTAAGGTCTTGCTTATGGTGTTGATCATCGGATCATCACGTCGCCTTCGTCCAAGTCACGTCTTGCACCCTATTAAACTACGAAACAATCACTTACAAATTCATTAGTCCAACTTGGTTGTGTTGGTCATCAAACACCAAATTCCAAAGTAAATGGGCCTAGGGTCCATTTTCCTTACAGGGGTGAAGGAGTTATTCTGTGCTTATATGTTGATGGCATACTGATATTTGGATCCAGCCTCAAAGTGATTGAGGGGTGAAGGAATTTTTATCTAATAATTTTGAAATGAAAGATTTGGGAGAGGCTGATGTTATTCTTAATATCAAACTTCTGAGAGAAGGTGATGGTGGGGTAACTCTGTTATAATCCTACTATGTGGAAAAGGTGCTGAGTCGCTTTGGGTTTCGTGACTGTGAACCTGCTCCTACACCTTATGACCCGAGTGTGCTATTGAGGAAAAAATCGGAGAATAGCAAGGGATCAATTAAGATATTCCCAGATTATTGGTTCGCTCATGTATCTTGTTAGTGCAACAAGGTCTGACATCTCATTTGTTGTGTGCAAGCTAAGCCAGTTTGTGTCAAACCCGGAAGATGATCACTGGCGTGCTCTTGAGAGAGTGATGTGCTATCTAAAAGGCACTATGAGCTATGGTATTTGTTATACCGGACATCCGAAGGTGCTGGAAGGCTATTGTGATGCCAACTGGATCTCTGATATTGATGAGCTTTATGCCACAAGTGGATATGTGTTTTCACTTGGAGGTGGTGCTGTTTCCTGAAAGTCTTGCAAGCAGACTATCTTAATAAAGTCTATAATGGAAGCAGAACTCACAGCAATAGACACTGCTGGCTCTAAGGCCAAGTGGCTTCGTGATCTCCTTATGGATTTACCGGTTGTTGAAAAACCCATACCAGCTATTTCTATGAACTGCGACAACCAAACTATGATTATGAAGGTTAAAAGTTCTAAGGATAACATGAAGTCTACAAGACATGTTAAGAGACGACTAAAATCTGTTAGAAAATTGAGAAACTCCGGAGTAATAGCGTTGGACTATGTTCACATGTCTAACAATCTAGCAGATCAGTTTACTAAGGGTCTGTCACGCAATGTGATAGAAAGTGCATCGAGAGAGATGGGTTTGAGACCCACATAAAATTTACTATAGTGGTAACCTTTTCTATGTGATCAGAGATCCCGTGAAGTAGGATGGTGAAATAAACTAGTAGTAAATTATGAGGAAAGATCCTTAGTAAGACTCATTTCTGATGCATATATTTCCTTTCTGTAAGGCAGGTTGGTTTTTACCTTAATGTGTTCCAAGTGGCTTACTAAAGCAAAGATATTATCCTACAGAACATCTTTTGAGGAACACACCTATATGAGTCAGACTGCTGGTCACAGTCTATGAGATTTGGATGATCTCTAAATACTCATAAAAGGCACTGAAGTATGACTTATATGCTTCAAATAGAGGGGATGCCTTTTGCAGCCTAGTATCAGCTATGGACTTTAGTAACATTCACCTCACACAAAACTATCAATTCAAGGCTTAGTCCATTGTTCAGTTGCGACTGAGTGAAACTATTGCTCTAGATGGATGTTCAACTTAACAGTTTCCATCGAAACACTGGTATGTAAAAGAAATGTGGTTTTGAGACTACTTTATTACAAACCCTAAAGTTTGATGGGGATTGTTGGATATATTATAGGCTTGGCCCGTATAATATTTAATAAATCAAATAAAACTATATGGTACGTAACATTAAGCGTTGTATGGTTTAATACCGTATGAAATTTTGACTAAACGTTTACTCAGCTTATTTGGTTGAAAATTATCCATCTTAATTGAGAAGCTGAAAAAAGAACAAAGGAGTGCCACACGCGCGCGCGCCGCCGACACCGTCGGCCGGGCCGAGCCGGGCCGTGGGCGTGGGCGCTGGCGTGGCCAGGCATAAAACAGAAAGTCCTCCGTCAGTCTTCTCACCCTTCCTTCGCTTCCGAGAGACCGCATCTCAGCCGCCCTTTGGCTTTCCCCATCCTGTACCTCTGCGCGCACGGAGTAGCGGGAGAGCAGGTGCCTCCGGAACCATCGTCCGCCTGCGAACCTTGCATGGGGTGTGCGGCGATTAGGTTTTTTGGGGAGCGATTCCGCGACTGCTCATCCGACGTCTTCTTCCTGACGATCGCTCGCGGAACCCGTCTTCTTCCTGGTGACTGTTTGTGGGACTGCACTGCGAACATCTTCTTGCATCGACTGTGGTCCACGACTTCGAGCAGCGCACTATGTCTAGTGCGAATGGAGCCTCCGATGCCCTCGGCATGGGACCCTCCGTTGGGTACACTCTTATCTCTGTGATTACATTACTTTGCGTACTTACTGTATCGATCAGTATATCATATTTGCATGTTGTAGTGTTTGTTAGAGATATACACATGCACATATATATCGTCACGAACTTACTGATGTTTTATTTCTGGATTAAATTGACCATGAAAATGCCTAATTGTCTAACATCATACGAGTTTGAACAACTTAGCAATGATGGATATCGGGTCCAATTCCAATACGTATTGGTTCGCACCATTTGTATCTCACATATGATCCAGACTCATGATTCGTGCTCATACAAGTTCGAATAACTCGTGTCTAGCGATGCGATGATACTAAGTCTAATTCCTATATGTATTTGGTTCAAATTTTTTATCTGTTTGTTTTTTATGTCCATTTTTATCCGAAAAAAGCTGCTTCGTTCCCCTCTCTTATTTTCTTTAGTTTTTTTCCCAATCCGATCCCGTGTTACCATTTTCCAACATACCATGAAATTTAAATGATTATGTGTGCGGGCAGCTAGACATGCTTGGGTAAGACATTAGCTTAAATATTAGCTGTGAATTCAAAAACAGATCATAAATAATTTTTAGCAGCTAAATAGTTACCTGGAAGGGATCTAAATAGGGCTTAAGTTTGCTCGAAAGAGCCAAGACCCACCTAATTACATTACACAAGTCGGGTTGGCTGCGATGAGGACATGACACTATCGGATACGACCATTGATTATAAGGTGAGCTCATTCCTATATTTGCATAGTGATTTTTTGTACAATTCATTTGGTTCCACATGTACATGTTATTATTTGCTTCTAGGTACAAATGTGTGTCAAAGCGCAAGTCCATCAAAGTTGAATTTTCAGTTCATCGGTGCCCCGATAATACTTTATTGGGAAGACCATAACTCCTTGATTTTTGGTACAATTCACTGTATAAATGTAGGAACGAACTCACCTTATAATCAATGGTCGTATTTGATGGTGTCATGTCCTCATCAGGTGGGCCCTCATGGTGTTCATGCAATGCAAAGCACCACGTCTAACGTCTTGTTGTGTCAATTTAGAGACACCAGTTGCTTAACCTGTGTAAAAGTCATTAGCTAGCATTCTCCAACTATACGTTGCTAGTATTTGCATAATGGTTGCATAAAGATTACGGAGTATCAGGTACCATAACATAACGATATACGTTAACATACATGAATTGGGATGGCCACAAACGAGCCTTAACATACATGGATTGGATACATGAATTGGGATGGCCACAAACGAGCCTTAACATACATGGATTGGGATGGCCACAAACAAGACGTAAGGTGTGGCGACACTACTACTCTACTGTATTTGGCAAGCAACCACATGTGCTTCCTAAAGCTTGGTTGGCCATAGGCACCAGCAGGACGATCGCAGCCACCAGCCTGTCCTGAACCACAGATCCGACGGCGCAGATCACCTCACCCAACCCTCCGCCTTCCCAGACCCTGCGATTAACCTCGCCGGCCCCGGCCATGCACGGCGCAATATAAATCCGGCCATCTCGCCTCGCTCCGACCACAACACTAGGGGCATGCCCCGGGCATGTGCTAGTAAGTATAAAATGCAGGCAGGTTATACCCATCATAGCTCTTCATATTTTCAAGTTTGGCGGTGGAGAAAACAAAGATAGCCTATTATGGCCCTGTTCGTTTCTCTTATAATGCATTTTCAGCTTGTTTTTTCAGCCGGAATAATGTTTTTCTCTCACAACAAATCAGCCTCTGTTCCGGGTTTTTTTTCCAGCGAAGCGAACGGGGCCTATAGTTCGTACACATTAATATTGGCAAACAGACCACAAGTTACAAGGGGCGTATTATAACTACTCATTAACACGGAGCTTATTGTAGGAGTCTTATCCTTCACGACACCACATTTCTCAAAGCATTGGACGGCAGTAAACCTCATTCCCACCTACAGGGCAAGGTTTCTGCATTAGCTCACTTTGGAATGCTGGTCCAACAGACTAGTGGCAGCCATGGGTGTCATCAACCTTTCCAGTTATCCTTGGTCTTCCTGACATCTCTCAGTGCTTCAACTGGAGAGTTGGCACCGAATTTAGCCTGAAAGATTCATAAGGATACCCAATTAAGAGAACCGTTCCGATGTAGTTGTGATTGGCAAGAAAGAAAATTCCTTCTAAGCGCTCTTCATTCACAGACATCAACCAATTCTGTGCATGGATGTGGAAGGCAGTGCAAGGAAAGTGTTTCAAGTGAGGAGATTAACCTGTATTTCTGGTAGATCAACACGCATGAATGTATTTATCTCAAACTCATCTCCTATAGTCGAGGGCACTGTTGGCTGATTCGCATCACGCTGCTTTTCAGCCCATTCCAGTTCTGTTTCGTCTTCTCATTCTCTGGCTCGACTGTCAGTATGAATTTTAGGTTCTTCACAGTGTACTGCAACTCAACAAGCAACAGGTAAGACCATAAAGAGCACAGTATGCCTCTACCAGCACAATTTGTATACCATATTAAGAAAAGATAAACAAAACAACCAAATGTTACTGGTTTTTTCTTGTTGGCAAAGTTATTACTATGCATGTCTCCACTAAAGTTGCCATCATCTTTTACAACAAGTTCAAAATCCCAAATTCAACCAAGCAAATTAAAAAGATCATGAACAAGCTCCTCACAGCTCAAGCACCTGTTATCAAAGATAGAACATGGAATGGAAAGGCGATGGGCCTAGTAAGTAACAAACATACAACAACAACAACAACAACATAGCCTTTCAGTCCCAAGCAAGTTGGGGTAGGCTAGAGTTGAAACCTACCAAGAGACCTAAGTCACGGTTCAAAACATACATGCTACATATATACAATTCTATAATCTCTATTAGCTAGGAACAAAAGGAGGCACACGTGAGCATCATATTTCTATATTAACTCCTTGCTGTTGGATTACATCCCAACCAACATAAATGTATTCAAATAAAACAGTCAACAAATCATAGAATTTAGAATCTGCTACAAAAGAAATTCAATAAACAGTCAATCAATCTAGAAACTGCCTATTCCTGAGAACATGAAACAGAAAACAGTAGATTTGTACATATGTCCTTGAGTCATTGATAATACAAGATTTACATCCTAAATGACAAAGGGAGACACATAGTTACTTTATATATTCCACCATACAGGTTCAGTGGTTCACTAGCATTCAAGTTCCTCCTTAATGGAACTGATAGAATCAGAGTGAAGAAAAGAGAGATCGTACCTCATGCCCACAGTAAACTTGAGTTGACTTTGGCAGCGAACCCAGTGTAACAATAAGGGACTGATACATTTGCTCTGCAGTACCCTCAAAAAACTTCCCACAACCAGCAATGAACTGTATTTCAGAAAAAGGGTTAGGACATAACAATCGAAGGAATCATCACTGTAAGCAAGATGTGTATACTAACCAAGGTATCTCCAGTGAAGACCGCTGGATCTTCCCCCTCCTTACTAGTAACATAGTAGCTAATATGACCTTTAGTGTGGCTGTTGAAAGAACGAAAAAATGATAGGGATCTAATCAACAGGCTTTTGCAGAGAAAACACATATAAAAGGATCACGCAAAATTGAGATTTTATTAAAGAGCTCAACTAAGTTTCTCAAGATTAATGACATGGTCGTGCCACTCATCAGTTATTCTACTGAATCCATAGATTCCATACGACTTTGGCAGTGGTGACTTAAGTAAATTTCATACGACTTTGGCTGTGGTGACTGTTGTACTGCATAGATCCTGAAATAATCCTGCCACCCACATTGCGCTGATACCAGCTGTCACAAGCCTTGGCTGCCGACAATCGCTCGCCGGAGCATGAGACACAGGAGAAATCGAGAGTGATAACGCGCCGAGAAAAGGTTCCTGCGGTCACTGTTCTATTGCAAAATAATGCTCTGTTCCCACACAGAGGTCGGCTATTTAAGCCTCACACGCAAACGACTCCTGACCCATGGGTCCCACATAAGTTTACTTACTACAAAACATGCCTGAATGATAATGAAACGTTGAGCCGACATAGTTCCTTGAGCCGACATGCATCAGCACTGACATTATACCATAAACGGAGAGGTGAAACGTATGTAATAATAAAGCAAGAAAGCAGCATAGCGAACAGCATACCAAGGCGTGTGTAGGCATAGTATCTCAATGTCCTTCCCAAGTGACAACTTCGTTCCATTCTCCACCTGATCAGTGCAGCCTTTCACATTGTCCAGTGATCCTCCAAAGACCTTTATCCCTGGCACCTGCAGTCTCATCTTCTCATTGCCACCAGCATGATCCCTAAAATCACAAAACCGGTCGCATGATTCATTAATGATGCATTACACAATTGCCAATGAAGCCCACAAATGTTCAATTTAGTACGGACAAGAGTAGTTTGCATATTGTGCCACCTGATACATATTTTCAAAGCATTGACCTTTCGGTCTGATATACTTTAAAAGTGGGAGCCAGAGAAATCCCCAGTTCCATTGAAGAGATGAAAACATTGTGGGAATGATGAAAAGGCCTATCTCCCAGCAGCCAAAGCATCAACTTATAATTCTTAATTGGAAATGGACTACTCTAAGAGCTGAAAACAAACAAGAATGACTGCATCTGCATGAAGGCACATATGTCAAGCACTATCAATCACATGTTCATTCAGGACTTCATTTTCCAGACCCCTCAGTTTCCATTTTCTGCAAGGAGTATCTAGCGAATACTATGTGGACTTCATTACCAGAAAAGAACAGTCAGCGTATATGTCTTGCATAGTGCTGTTCTTCTTGTACCATCAAAACCTGTGCACATAGCAATTAAACTGAAATCATAGAAAAAAAAATCCCAGGTCGGAAAGAACTACCTTTTTTTTTGAAACAATGGTAGCAGCTGTCTTTCAATTAAGACAAATGAAGTTTATATACAAGCAAAGGTAACAAAGCGTGGCGCCAAACACCGCGAAAGGTTAGCCCACCCACGCAACGCGGTAGAGTACACACTACCATGAGTCATCGTTGCCGAGCATGGTTGCAAAGCAGCTAGCAGCTCCGACTTCCCATGGCAAAACACCGACGACCCATCCTAAGATGTCAGACCAATGGGCCCAAAGCAGGAGGCTGCAACAGGTCATCGTTGCCGAGCTCAACGGCTCCGCGAAGAGCAGCTCCGACTTCCTGCCTTGATCCCCCGCCCCGCCCGCGGCAATTGCCGAGCCTCTAAAGCTGAAACCCAACCGTCGGAGAAGGAGGGTTCGACCCGCGTCATCGTTGCCGAGCTACATCCCCTGGTGCAGCAGCTCCGACTTCACGATGCAGAACTCGCCATCTCGCGTCAACCGGGCGCCGAGAGGCAGAGGACATCCGCCGAAGGAGACATCACACGGCGAGAGGCAATTTCCACGGCCGACGCGCCGGGGAAGGGTACGACGCAGAGAAGCGCCGCCATCGCTTGTCCAGAATGGAATGGGTTTCCACCCGTGGAAGACATGGCATTTGGGGCACAAGAACACGACGCCCCAACAAGGAAAAGCGGCGCCCACCAGGCGCGCCGCCGCCGCCAAGGTTTTTCGCCGAGGTGCCCCTAGCACAAACGTCGAGCCAAGATGTCGCATCGTAGCTGTCGCCGCCACCGTCGTCATCACCGCCATCCGCGAGAAGCCCCTCTGAGAGGGCATCACGCCGCCGCCGCTCGCTCAGAAGAGCCGACGATTCGTCGCCGCCGCCCCCTCCGACCGGGCAACATGCGAGCTGGACTTACCGCCACGCGCGCCACCCGCCCGACGCCCGGCCGCCGCCGGTGTGTCGCCGCGGCTCAAGCACCGCCCGCCCGCCGCCGCCGACCGCCGCCCACCGCAGCGCATGCCCCACCTCAGGCACCGCCCCCTACCTTAGGGGCACCGGATCCGCCGTCGGTGCTGGACCAGTGACCCGGTGGCGCCGCCGCCTCCACGCTAAGGTCGAGGAGGAAAGGGGGAAGCGAGGAGGAAGAAGGAGCCCCGCCACCACCGGCGCTGCAGACGGCATCGCGCGCCGCGCGCCGCCAAGCAGCGGCCCCACTGAGCTCCACGCGGCTCGCGTGAGGGCACGCCCCGCCGCCCCGCTACTACGCACGCCGCCACCAAGCGCGAGGAAGAGGAAGAGACCTGGCCCTGGGCGACGCAGCCGCCACCACGGGCGTCGTACCCGCGGATCTGCGGCGTCTTGGACAGGAGCCGCCACCACCACCGCCCAGCGCTCGCCCAGGCGCGGCCCGCCGGAGATCTGCGCGAATCAAGCCGTTGGACCGCCGGATCCGGACGCCGAAGCGAGGAGGCTGCCCCAGACAGCCGCTGAAGACGCCGGCACCACCACCTGCCCCAGCGACCACGCCATGCCCTAGGACACGAGCTCGTCCTCGACCGTCGCAGCTTCCACCGCGAAGAAGAGCCTCGCCGCCGCCCTCCCGGCAAGCTGCACGGCCATGCCGGCGGCCTGCTCCGGCGACGGCACGGCTGGAGAGAGGGAGGGAAGGAAGAGAGGCGGCTAGGGTTTGGGTCGCCTCCCATGTCGCCTGCGTGGGGGCGACGCGGGGGCCTCCTAAGTTCCCGGAAAGGACTACCTATTAATATTTCTGAATTCCTATGTACATCGACTACGGGCCTGTTTGGATCAGTTAGGATGACTTAGTAGTTGGCACTAAAAATTAGCCCAAATTAGCTGAGGTTGGCTAGCTAATTGGTTAACAACTAGTTGAATGCTTCGCTAAAAAATTAGCCCACCTATAAGCACACCTGTTTGGATGGGCTAGGGACTAATTGCGGCTAATTTTTGCCCTTGGTATCGAAACAGACCCTAAGACACGAGCAGTGGCGTTAGTCTGATTAAATAAATAACTATTGAATGTCTAAAGGCCCCCTGTTCGGCTAGAGGAATTCTGGATGAATTTGGATGAAAAACATGCGGCTAATTTTTGCCCTTGGTATCGAAACATACCCTAAGACACGAGCAGTGGTGTTAGTCTGATTAAATAAATAACTATTGAATGTCTAAAGGCCCTGTTTGGTTGGAGGAACTCTGGATAAATTTGGATGAAAACATTGTTTCAAATGAAATGGTGTGAGAGAGAAAACACTGTTTCAGATGAAAAAATGGGATCTATCCCTTTTATGTCTCAACTGTCAACTCGGAATAAGATGATGGCCAACAACTCATCAATCAAAGAAACAAGAATCAGAACATTCGAACACAAGCAAAGAAAGGAACCTAGCAAATAAACATCTGGAACTGGAAGGATATGGCATACCAGTGGTGATGGGTGGTGAGAACGCAGTCAACGTAGGCGCCAACCTCGCCGGCCGCCTTGAGAACCTTCTCCGGTTCCACAGGGACAACGGCCGCCGCCTTCTTGGTGCTCTCGTCCACGATTCTTGGAACGGAAGAAACAAATAGCAATCAAGAACTCAATGATTTGAAACGAACAAAAAAAAGAAAGAAAGAATAGGGTAAACAAGCGATGCAAGCTGATTCGTACAGGTAGGCATAGCTGTCCTCCAGGCAAGGGACCGGGATGATCTTCATCTGAGGATCCCCATGGGTGGGTGTGCCCTTGAGGCCATGTTTAGTTGTCCGGAATCGGCGCCACCGAAAATACTGTAGTGCACTGTAGCATTTTCGTTTGTATTTGGTAATAATTGTCCAATCGTTGACTAATTAGGTTCAAAACGTTCGTCTCGCAAAGTACAACCAAACTGTGCAATTAGTTTTTGATTTCGTCAACATTTAGTACTCCATGCATATACCACAAGTTTGATGTGACGGGGAATCTTCTTTTTGCATAGTGCCAAAGTTTGAATTTTGGGGTGAACTAAACATGGCCTGAGGCGAAATCTCTGGAGCAAAACCCCCTACGGAGAAGACTAGAAGCAGGGAGCAGCAGATGGATATGGGTACGGAAGGTTTAAGTAACAAAGGAAGAAAGGGGATGAAAACGACCGCTTTGTCGGCGGTAGTGGTGGAGGGTCGTGTCATGTGACCGTGATTAACCAGAGGCCGCCTGCCCGCCTCATCAGTGTCTAACCAGAGGCCGAATAGGTCAGTCGATGTACCTCTATGAAAAATGAAGGGCCTTGATTACTTACTCAGTGAGAATTACATTTTTTAAGAGACGAAGGGAGTTTCCCTAAAAAATGAGAGGAGTATTCTCTCTCTCTGCTGTAACCACTTTTGATCAAATTTATTCATGTGTACATCAAAATGCTCTTAACTCCAATTTTGATCAAGCTACTAGTTTTGACAAACCCCCCCTCCTCCCATAATTGTGTGACCAAAGATAAACAAGAGCCATAACACTAAGTGCTCGCAATACAAAATCCGCAATTACACTCAATTACACTATTGGCTTAGCCTCTGTCGGAGTTGTCGATAACTTTATTTTAGGTCGTAGATCGAGTCTCCTTCTTGGTAGGGTAGAATTGGTTATCGTGTCGACCAGCCGATCGCTATATATTAAGGAGGCGAGCCCGGCCCGATGGGTTGCGGTCTTGAGATGTTATAGTTAGTACGAGACCTTTCGACGGTGGCATTCTAAGCATCGGATCGAGAATCCTCCGATTTATGCCATGTTGTGGAGTCCCCTTGATCGACTTCTTGAAAAGATCGAGTAATAGTTGTATTCTTGATAGGTCGGGGCCGCGCGTTAGCCTCACGAGAAAAGAACTTGGTTTCCCAAAAGAACTCGGATAAGATTCTATCTCGGATGCACGAGCACGAGTTGATTGTGTTGTCGGACATGTTGCGAATCTTTCGATGATTTGAAGAGTCGCCGAAATAGAATAGTCTTCATGGTGATGATCTCTAGGATCCTATCCTCGAAGATGAAAGTTGATATCGAGAAGATCATCTTTGTCGAGGTCCATCGAGCTCTCGGGCGAAATCCCCTACCGGCGCGTCATTTGTCGATGTTTTACCACCGATCCTAGTCGGTGAGCGCGAGAGCGATCGATTTATCAATGAGATCGTTGATCGAGTCCTCCTAATCGGTGTTAGCCTCTGCGTTCTATTGATTGTGTGTTGTTTATAAAATAATAATACTACTAAGATTACATGGGAGAATTCTTAGTAGTTAGAATAATACTTACTAAGATTACATGTGGAGAATCCTAGTTAGACTCTCTCTCTCTTCCTTGCAGGGTATCCTGTGGGTCCCACATCGACAAGCCCCCGAGCACTTCATGGTTGTGCTCCGGAAGCCTCGTCTTGTTCTTTTCGTGTCTTGCCGAAAGCGAGGAACAAGCGTCGTCTCGAAGTGCTTTCTTGAGCGAAACCGTGTAGCGCTCTGTGAGATCTTCGCGTGGTGTGTACCTTTTTGAAGAAAAAAGTACTCTCCTTTAGGTGTAGCCCCCGAGCCTCTTGCTATTTGGTACAAGGAGCTAGAGGGTCTTGTCTTGAAATCGCTCTGATCCTTCGTTGAAATGTTCCCAAGCATGTACCCGGGTTCTTTGTCAAAAAGAACTTGGATATAGCTCGGTCCGGCTTTTTTTTGTCATGAGTCCTTGAAGTAGTTTTGTCTTGAAAAAGTGTTTTTGGTGACGTGCGCTTTTTTGAAGAAAAAAGTGCACTCACTGAGTGTAGCCCCCGAGCTCTTGCTATTTGGAACAAGGAGCTGGAGGGTCTTGAATCTTATGCTGTCTGAAAATTGCTATCTTGAAAAAGCCTTTCGAGTGACGTGCGCTTTTTTGAAGAAAAAGTACACTCACTGAGTATAGCCCCCGAGCCTCTTGCTGTTTGGAATAAATAGTTGGAGGGTCTTGAGTCTGATTTGTTCGAGGAACTGAAATCTTCCCCTATTGCATCCTCTGAGCATTTATCCGGGTTCTTTGAAAAAAGAACTCGGATGCATTGTCTTGGCGTATTCTCCGGTAGTCTGCCGTTTGTCAGGTGTAGTTGTATGGTGGTGGTTGAGAGTAAATATTGCCTGTTCACGGGTTGTACAGCGTCGGCATATTCTTCCGAATATGCTCGTCTTCGAGTACTATTCCTTCTCGCCAGAGTCTTCCATTATTGAGTCATGTCTTTTCACTGTGTCCTTTGTTAGTCTTGTTTCGTTGGTACTCCTAGTCCATGTGCGCCGCTCCTTCGATCTATAAATACCCTTCTGGAGTGCTTATTTTCATCCATTGAACATTTTGTTGAAGCCTTCGTGGTCATGAATATGGTAGTTTGTGAAGTAGAGCAGCCCCCAGGCGTATTTTGTAGTTCCTATGCATCTTGTCGTAGCTGGAGGAAGTCTTGTGATAGGGATTAGAGGTAGACTAATCCCGCAGCAGTATTGTACTTGGAAGTATGTGGTGGTAGTTGGAGGAAGTCTTGTGATGTGGGATGTGTTCCTTCATCCAACAGTTCTGGGTTGATCTTCCTTGCCTGCCCTGCGACTGTCCGGTGCAGATCAACACTTGATCCTGCATCACGTTGGGCTTGGGTAGACAGATGCCTACCGACTTCCCCTGGTCTATGTTGTCCCGTTGTACTGCTGATTTCTGCCTTGGATGCACTGCGTCCGTCCTTTGAAGAAAATAGTGTAGCCGAGTGCGGTTTGTTCTATCGGGTAGCAATTTGGGACACGTAGTCGTTCCAGAGCCTAGTTGTGTCCGGGTTCCTCTTTGCAACCTTGATTGTCATAGTACCAAGTTTGTTGGGTCTTGTAAGATGTGTAATCTTCTATTTTTTGAAGCCACTTGTAATGGAAAGAATCTTGTCCTCTGAGTTGTCATTCATTTTTCTGCTGTAATCCTGGTTGTTCATGAGATTCCCGAGTTCTTTCTGTAAGAACCGGGTTCTTATGTTACTTGTGAGGTAGCCCTTCGTTTCTTCTTGGTTGCCGGGTTGTTCTTGTAGTAATCTGATAACTCTGTCGTGGTGCTGGATGGATAAGTCTAAAATCTGTCCGTTAAACTGTATCATTGTGTGGATCTGTGCCGTCCATCATTTTAGCTGTGTCAGTAAATGGACCATTGTGTTCCCACACCATGTTTTAACGGGCCTGGTGG